TCTTTTGATTTCTTCTTTGTACATGTAGTCCTGAGCATAACGTCGTGATTTAGGATGGCCTCTTGGACTCATTTTTAAGCTTCTCTTAATCCTTTTAAAACCGAGAGCCTTCCCTTTGGTTTGGCTTTTGTTGGAACTTTTATTTTGTCCACGACATTGGCTTTCGAAGTACTAGCATAAGAAATTTCATACTTATGATGCCCTTGATTCTTCCTCGATTTGAAATGACTCAAAAAGTTTGATTTTCACAGCCTTTAACTTGTCAACAATAATTTTCAATTCATGTATTTGTAGCAACAAATTTATGTCATCCAAACTAAGATGAAGATGATGGTGAATATGACACCAATGACTTGAATACGTATAAAATGCTATTCTAAATGCGTTATTGGCTCCATCTAGATTTTATGCATTCAAGACTCCTTGAAACTAACTTTCATGGATTAATCAAGCCTTAACTGGTTGTGTAAAGCACAACCAAAATGCAGGATAGGAAAATTGAAAACTTTTGAAAATTCTGAATATCGTTTTAATAAAATGATACGAGTGTAAATTTACATTGTCTCTTGTTGGTTTTCTTCTAATTTAAAAAAAAAAAAAGAAAAAAAAAAAAGAAAGAGCTTCCACATATCATTTATCCCCTCTACTTTTAGAGGTACAATAGTAAAATCCGAAAGTGGATACAACCATGAATCAAAAGACGCCATTTGAAACTAATAATTTCAAAAATATTTGCCCACACATAAGCAATGTATACTGCCAGATCAATTGTTTCCTTGTTCCTTGATTGTCTCTCTGACAAATTATTTACACGTCACTCAAATTTAATATGTCAACAATAAAATCTCAAACTAGAGTAATAGCATCTCCATCTCATTTCATGGATTGCAATTTATATGATATTTTAATAGACGTACTTCCAATGAACGTGGCATTGATGTCTGGTGAATAGATAATCAAGTTTAAAATTTATATCTAATAAGTTTTTGTTGTAAAGAGTAATTTATTAGTGAATGACAATTGTACCTCTAAAATCCTAGAAATTATTACCATTGAATGCCACCTCATTTCCTATAAATATAGGGTATTGGTTCTCATTATAATACACGCAAGTCTATTGACTTTTATTCTCTCTCTTTTTTCATAACACATTATCAATCCGAAAGCTTATTTCTTCAAAGCAAAGTGAATATTTATGATGGGTTGCCGAGATATCTGCTTGATTGATAATGTAACTACACATACAATTCTTCAAGATTAAATTATTTTTTGGACTTAACATTAACAGAAATAATATTAATACGATATCAGGTATATCAAATATCGTTGAATGTTCCAGAAGAACTTGTATTATTATTTTACCAAATAATACAAAATTATATATTGATGATGCACTTTATTCTAACAAATCCGGAAAAGAATTTGCATGGTTTTAAAAATATCCGCTGCAATAGTCACATTGAGACAATTCAAGAAAAAATGTTGAATATATGTGCAAAACTTTTTTTTGTACCTGGCCAAAAGCAAATAAAAGAAAAACTTTGTGTACTCCCATTTAGCATGTATTATACATTTATAAAAATGGTCGAATCAAATATTGTCATGAACCGGAAGTTTTTTGTCTTAAAAAATTTTATAATTTGGCATGATCGACTTAGAGATCCTGAAGTTATAATAATGAGTGGAATAATAAACAACTCACATGGACATCCTCTAAAGAATCAAAAGATTCTTTTACTTAATAATTATTCATAAGTAGCTTGTCCGCAAGGCAAGTTAGTCATTAGACATTCGACTACAAAGGTTAATATTGAATCTCAAACATTCTTAAAAAGCATTCATGGAAATATAGTTGACCAATACACTCACGATGTGAACCATTTTATTGTTTTGTGGTATTAGTTGATTATTCTACTAGATAGTCACATGTTTGCCTACTTTCTACTAAAAATGTAGCTTGTGTTAGACTACTTACATAAATCATATAATTACGAATATGGTATTTCGATTAGTCAATTAAGACTATTCGTCTCGATAATGCTGGTGAATTTAAATCACAAGCATTCGATAATTATTGTATGTCGATTGGGACTGTTATTGAACATTCGGTTGTGCATGTTCATATTGCTAGACTATTACTTATGAAAACAAAACTCCCAACTTCTATTTGGGGTCATGTTATATTACATGTTGCATTATTGGTTCGTATAAAACCAACTATATATTAACAATATTAATCTTTGCAACTTACATTTGACCATAAACCTAATATTTATCACTTAACTGATTTTTTGTTGTGTTGTTCAAGTCCCTGTTTGACCCCATAATGAACTAAAATGAGTCCCCCGATGAAGATTTGGAATTTATGTGGACTTTGATTCACTATCTATTATTAGGTATCTTGAACATTTAACGGGTAATTTATTTACTGTACAATTTGCATATTGTCATTTTAAGGAAATGACTTTCCCAACTTTGGAGAGGGGAACTACATCCTAAAAAACAAGGTAAATTTTCTAGAAATGAAACAACTCTATCTCATTTTAATTCCCGTAGCAATTAATATGATTAAGATATTGAAAAAATCATTCACTTGTAAAAAGTTGCAAATCAATTATGAGATGTATTTGTTGGCTCAAGAAAAGTTATAAAGTCATATATATACCAGTAGAACATATTTCAATAAAAATTAATATCACGGAAGGAAAACCTATTATAGCAAATAAATCTCAAGTACGCCAAAAGTGTGGTCGATTAGTTGATTCAAAAGATTTGTATCTCCAAAAAGAAAAGTTTAGGGGGAAAACCAAGCAAAAACTTTAGAAGAAGAACATTTAAAGAGATTAATAAATTAAATATTGAAAATATAATTCTTGAATAACCACATGTTTCTTAAAATAATGAAATTTCAATAAATTATATGTTATTTCATAGTCGGGAATAAAATAATGTTGTTATCGACAATATTTTTTGCCTTTAACGTGACTATTGATATTATGCAAAATGAGAATTATGAACCACAGCCTGTTAACGACTATAAATATAGAAATAATTAACGAAAATGGAAAAAAAATCATACAGGCAAAATTGAATTCCTTAAATAAATGAAAAGTATTTGAACTTGTAGTCTAGCACCTGAAAATGCAATCCTTATTGAATACAAAAGGATTTTTGTACGAAAGAGAAATGAGTAATGAAATCACAAAATATAAAGCCCGACTCATAGTTCAAGTTCCTAAGAAAGACCAGAAATTAATTATAAGGAAATATATTTTCCCGTAATGGATGCCATCACTTTTAGATTTTTTATTTGGGTTGATCATATCACAAAGGCTCGATATGCGCTTTATGAATGTAGTAATTGTCTATTTGTATAGTTCATTTGATGGTGAAATATATATATATATCCGTGAAGCAATCATTGATAACAACATTCTTAAATCATTCTAAAATTATTGCAATCCATCAAATAGAACGAGAATGTGTATAATTGAGAAACATGACCGGCCATATTCAAACATCATGTGGGTTAACTTTAACAAAAGGTAGTACAACAAAGTTTCCAACAACTTTGTATGAAGACAATGCTCTTAGAATTGCACAACTCAAAAGAGGTTATATCAAAGGCGACAGGACAAAGCATATTTCTCCAAAATTCTTTCACACACATGAGCTTAAGAGAAATGTCGATGTCGATGTTCAAAAAATTTGCTCAAGTGAAAATGTGGCTAATTTATTTACAAAAGCACTATCACCATCTACATTCAAGAAATTTGTTTAAAGGATTGGAATGCATTGACTCAAATATTTTCAGTGATCAATATCAGGAAAAATAGCTATACTATTTTCCTTCGTTTAGGTTTTATCCATCTAGGTTTTCCTAAAAATGTTTTAATAAAGCAACATTTATCTTTAATACTCCAAAATAATGTACTCTTTTTTCATCATTTGATTTTCTCATTAAATTTTTATCAAACAAGGTTTAACGATGCAAATATTTTTTAATGTATCATTTAAGAGGAGTGTTGTCAATGGTGAATTTACTAGTGAATGACAATTATACCCCTATAGTCCTAGAACTTATTAATATTGTATCTCTAATCATTTCCTATAAATATAGGACTTTAGTTCTCATTATAAGACACACAAGTCTATAGGCTTTTATTCTCCCTTTTCTCTCTCTCTTTTCATAACAATTCAAATACTTCTACCTACATGTCCTTTATAACATTAAACTAAGAGTTTTGTTAGAGTGACAGGGCTCATTGCAAGGGGTGCCACATGCGTACCTGTTCGTCTAGGGCCACATCGACTGGCAAAACTCTTAAACTAAGGATGTTAAAAATACATTGTAAGAGAGAAAATCTCTTACTATAAAACAGAAGTAGAATTAAATTGATGAGTCAGCAAGCTTAACAAAGTATCTATATTTGGATCTTCGTGGAGACATTATCTTCTTTTTTGTCAATCGGGTCAATCTGTATTAAATAGCCTTTTTAAATATAGTTTATTTTATTCATGTGACAAAATTTTTAAGCAATTCACGATTACAGTTTGAAGAAGGAAAAGAAACGGCTACATTTCCCTACCTCTCTCAATCTGTCACTTCCGTTCAACAAACTCACCACCTAGCCACCGGTTCGACCACAATTCTTTCCAGTAATTTCTGAAAATATCTTTTTAATTTTTCTTTTGACGATTCATGTGTTTCTTAATATTATTATTATTATTCATTATTAATTTTTTTATTTTTTTGGTGTCTGAGCAATAGGAAATTGTTAGAAGCCATGACCGTGAATGATCATTGCAAATTTTTATTATGTATGTCTTGGTGGCATGAGATAGTTTCTGCACTATTTCAATTCAAAGTCGTGAAATCAATCTATCCGCTACTTCAAAATCAGATTGAAGATCAAACATTTTCTTTCCATTGATCTATTCATGCAAAATAAAGCTGTAAAGACCGTTGGCACTTAGTATATTATAGAAAATTATTTTCTATTTCAAACTGGGAATCTATTGTTTGCTTGTCCAAATGCTCACATGATGGTCGATGGAGGGCAATTGGACAAATATTGCTTATACATTTCTTGAAATCTTTTCACTTCTTGCCTTTATTTTGTATTTTCGGCTGATGTCATGTTCAGGAAAAAGCTTCATCAAGCAAGGGAGAGAGCAAAACATAATACAAGACAGTGATTTCAAATAGTGTTAGACTATAATGTCAGATAACTACAATGAATTTCTCGCAACGGTTTAGTCTCCATTTTGAAGTCTCTTAGAACCTATTTTGTAACCTTTGTTTGGTCTATTGTTGTCTTTGTGTTTGGATTTGAAGACGCGGATATGATAATAATTTAGTATCATAGCTGATGGCAAGTTTGAGAAATTTTGTTTCAGACATATTCAAGGATTTTAGAGGTTACCTTTTGATAAGGAGTGGATACTGTATACATAATTCATTGAATTTTGTTTGTTGTATTGGTTCGACATCTGATGTACTTCGCCATTTTTGGAGTAGGACTCATACTGAGGGGTGCTCTGTGTTCCTAGTGTAATGTTTTTGTATCAATGCCATCCATATGGAAAAAGTAAAAAGATGTTGAATTCTTATACCCAAAGGTGACTGAGTTCTCTATTGCATATCCTCACTGCATGTGTGCTTTTTGATAAAAATCCAGGAACACGTTATTGTGACGAAATGTATGTGGATGCAACAACACTATTCATCAACCTCGATATACAACTTAGCTATAGTGTGTTGGTTCTTTGAGCTCGAAGAGATGGGATTAATTCGAACAAAGATCAAGTAACGATTGAACCTACTAGAACCCAATTCTATTTAAGCAGTAAATTCTGCCATTTCTGTGCTAACAATGCCATTTACATTTATAAGTGTGATCCATTTGAAAAAATGAATTGAACAAAAAATCTGTACATCCTGTTGTTTCCTTATCTAGCCTAATATGAATCACTAAGGATGGTAAAGAGAACGAGAGGCCAGGAGTCTTGACCTTATGCTGAAACTGAAATCTAACAGTTTGGAAAACAATAGCATACTTACAAGGGCTTATAAACAACATTTTCTGCTGCAAATTTTCACCTGGACGCGTGACTCCTGTCAATTCAAAATTTTCTGAATTCTTATAAAAAGTGTCGAAATGGCGAATTATTTAACTCCTAAATCCTGGCTGGCAATCCATAATTGTTGAATGTCCTAATCATTCCATCCGAACCAGCAGCAACAATCACAAGACCCCAAGTTGCTGATAGAATTCTGGATCCATGGCTGTTATTCTTGTGCTGCAGCTGCTGATGAAGATGATCACTACAATTACTACATGGCTGACAATCATTTTCAACAGATTGTACCTCCCATGAAGGAAGTATTTCTTCAGGCCATGTTGTAGAGGCCCGGGATGAGCCATCTGTGGAGAGCCAATTTGCAAGGGAAAAATGTTCTGAATCCCGAAACCTCGAGGACACTTCTTGGTGATCAAGTGTTTGTATGTCAGATTGGGAATTGCCACAAGCAAAACTACTTCGTTCTGTCGCCAAATTCGACCAAGGTAGTGCAACAGACACGCCATCAAAGAAGAGATGCTCGCAGGAACAGATGGATTTGGCTTGTTTGGATGTCTGGATGGACAAATCATCATAATTCCACAAATAAATACGCGAGTCCTCCCCAACTGATACTATGTGTCTCCCACTGGAAGTAAAAGAAGCTGACATCTGCCTTCCTGATTTTGCTAGACCTATCATGGTCAAGAGAAATCATTTATAAGAAACTTAAGTGATCTGATAAACATAATAAATTGAAGTGTCAAAGGTTTTGTAAATGGTAAATACATGTAAATAGTGTCAAAAAATTGTTGAGAAGACAGTGTAAATGAGATCATAGGCATAGAACACCACCAACATACTGAAAAGGAAATTTTTTGTATCGATTTCTTAATCTATGTAAGAAATAAACCAAGACAGAGAGCCTGAACAAGTAAAACAAACTTTGTTGCTCGTTATAGACTGCAAAAGTTTGTACTAGAAATTGTGAGATGCCATTTTAATCCTTGATGCCAATAAAAGGGCTCTGGTGACTACATAAGGTTCAAAAAACCCCAAAATCATCTAGTTCTGTATGGCCTGAGTAGATGTATTTCTTTATCAATATATTGATTGTTCTAGTCTACAAAGTAAACTATATCATCAGACAATGGAAAAAATGTTGCTGAAAAATGAAGGATTCGAGACATAGTTACTGCATTCATTGTGTTATATGGAGCTGTTTCTATACCTCGGTATTTATGAACAACCTCAAGCCCATCAAGTATCCGAATTTTGGAGTCCTCTGATGTTATCATCACTCTCTGAGAGTCATTTTTCAGAAACTGCAAAGAATGAAACTCATGTCAACTTCAGTGAAAATGGCGGATAAAATGTTTTAACACCTAGATTTTAAAGAGTGAAACCTGAATGCCAGTGATTTTGTTGTCGGATGACTTCTTTCTACCCTGAATGTTTATCTCTGCTTTTAGCTCAAGTTCGTCACCTGTGCACAAAAAGAAAATGGGTTAGAAGATCCCAACGAGAACATGGACAGATATTTCAAATTATGCTAAAAAAGAGTTCACACATGGCAAAATACATACCTGATGTTTCATAGAAACGGCAGGTACCAGAAAGAGAACCAACAACAAAACCCTGTTTCCGTTGTAACAAGTAAAACCATGTTCAGACAGTGGTAAAAATCCAATAGATATCAAGAACAGCAGTAACATAATAAATCTTACTTTTCCATCTGGCTTGTAACATATTGCCGTTACAACATCTCGTGCATTAGCCCAATGAACAACTCTCTTCTTGGTAACTCCAAATATTCGAACTTTACCATCTATGGAGCCACTGATGAAATAGTTCTCATCCCCAGGATTAAACTGAACACATGTTACTGAATCATCCAAAGGGCAAAAAAGGTACATTAGTTTAGAGCATTATGAAAAATAAGTTATTCTTTTTGGTTTTAGATTGTGAAGGGGGTCGGGGTTATGGTAGACCATATAGCATAAAAAGCATAAAGCATTTACAAAAATCAAAGGATCTGTAAAACACAATTTTCTAATACCATAATAGCTGTGATGGAAAATGCCAAGACATTCATCAGAGCCTACTTGCCATAAACGAACAGTGTTGTCCATTGATGATGAAAGAAGATGCTGCAGTCAAAAATCTATTTCAGCTACTGATAAGATGTACCCGTATAGAAACATTTAATTAGCAGCTCTTTTACTTACATTAGTTGTGGACCATGCAAGGTCTAAAATGTCACTGGTATGGCCATGAAACATGTGAAATGGCTCCTCTTCGATATGGAATATCCTTTCAGGAATGATGACAGACGGGTGACTTGACTTTTTCCTCTGAGAACTGGATGGACCTTCCATGTCCTGGCAACCAAACTTGCATTCCGCATCATTGCAAGATGCATCTATGGAACTAACACGCCATATGCAAACAACCCCATCTTCACCTCCACTAGCCAAATATTGGCCATCAGGACTAAACTTCATTGTCCAGATTAGGCCATGATGTGCGCTAATTTCTTGTCCAACATAGACAGCAGAGCACTCCATGCACCGCTTCTTATTTTGTTCCATCTTCACCCAAGTGGCATTCCCTGCTTTAGTACCTAACTTTTGTTCATTTGATAATTTGGTACCTCGGCCTTTCCTCATTGTCTTTGTGAAGCGTTTCCACCAGCGTATCATTTTCTTCCTTTTCTTATCCACATACCTGCAATCTTCTAGACAAGCCTGCACTTCCCCATTATCACATTTTTCCACAGAGAGGTAGTTCTCTTTGATTTGCCTCTCCACATCAATGGTCATATCCAACCAATCGTGGTCAGAATCATCAACTGAACAATTTGTTTCACCAATCAATTCCCGTCTGTCGCACTCTGTATTGTCACCTGTGCTACAAGTAGATAATACACATGAACTGGAAGCAGCTCCACTAGATTCCATAACCCTTTCCAACCCCATTGCCTCTGGTTCACCAAGTGATGCCCGATCACCAAAACCCATTCTGTGCAAGAAATTTTCCCTTCTTTCCTTGACACTCTGTGGCGCTCTCAACCAAATCTCGTACCCTATATCATGACACACCAGATTTTTTCCCACTACAACAGACTCCTCGGATGACAAGTAATTTACAGTATCGAAGAAAACTTCTTCTCCTTCATCAACAATCGGCATGTCTTACAAAGCCGTTGGGGCCAGAATTCAACATTAAACCATAAACTCTCCTCTCCCTCCCTAATATCTTTTCAAAATGAACACTTCAGCCCTTTATTTAACAACTTAAATATCCACATTGACTTATGGAGTCTAACCCACTAAACTACGTCAAATCAGGCAATAAGCCCACAGTACGCAATTCCAGTATATAATCCAACAAGCATGTCTATGTACTAGGTACCAATCTCATGTTCCATACTATTTAAATTACTTTCATATCCCAACACAGAAGAAGCTATAAAATAATCCAAAACGAATGCAAAACGGACAGACCGAACAGATTGAAATGCGGGCAGTGCACCTTGAATTTATATAAGTTAAACAGCAAATCCCAACAATATCACCGACCCTCCTTTGATTATGGCCTCCGTATCAAATCTCAACAGTCAAAAGTCCCTTTAAACTTATATATAAATTAACCAACGCCTCCAAAGAGTCAATACTCTTCCAAATTCTCCGTATTCTTACTTGGCAATGGTGTAAAGCTGAGAAAATTAAAAAACCACTCTTTCATAAAAACAACTACAAGAAAATCCAGTTCCATAACAATAAACAAGTATACTATTATATAGAAATTAGCCACCTCACTATCAAGGACCGAATCGGCCCGTTTTGCAACCTATGCTTGAGATATATTTAACTGGCCTCGAGATCTGCGGACTCAATGGTGAATATGGGGGGAATATCGGCAGCGCAATGGCGACGCAACCCAGAAAATGCTTCTGCAGTACAGATGTCTATACACTATAAATTTCCCGACAGCAACATCATACAATTATCCAAAGTTAAATTCTCTTCACCAAGTCCAAGGGTTCCCGACAAATGCTGTTAAAAACACATTGAAATTAGACAAGATTAATTCGAGATACCGAACATGGAAGCATATGTAACTTCAATTTAGGCAATTCAAGAATAAAAAAAAAATGGGAAATCAAAAAAGGGGAAATTTGTCATGCATTTTAGATCATAAATGCAGACAAAAAACTTTTGAAAATCATTGATGGTATCGCATTTCACATTTATGTAATAATAAAAATAATTTATTGAGAATATTAATGAGCAGACAATTTAGATGAGCAGACACAATGCAGGGGAAGATGCATTACAGGCTGTTCAGTAGTTGCGTTTACAACCCTACAGAATAAAAGAGACGGCCGGCTGCCATTTTTGTCCTGGACTAGTGTAAAAACTCAGTAAAAATTAATGAGACCGAGAAAAATTAAAATATTATGATATTATCAATAAAAGAATTATTAATTAATATGTTAAGTGAAATAATTTCTAATCAATGTTGCAAAATTATTATGAATGTCGAATATCTCTTAAATTATTAACTTAAATAAGACTTTTCTTATTTTTTTGTTTCAATTATATAGCCTTATCTGTTATTGAAAATGTTTTGTTTCGTTCATTTACTAGTATATCTTTATTTAATTTCCTTAGTTATAATCAATTTTTTCTGCTTAATCTTGAAATTGTACAAATATAAATAAGATTAAATTATTAAAGTTTTTGGCATAATTTACTTTTTTAATAGCATTAAGCCCTTGTTTGAGCTCCGTTTTTTTTTTTTTATCAAAATACATTTTAAAATAGTGATTTGACCTTATTTCAATCACACATTCTTCAATAAAATATTATTACACGCAAACTCAAAATTTTTTCTTATTTTTTATCCATACATTCCCCATCATAGCAATATTACAGAATGCATTTCTGCGAAAAGAATGGAGTTCAAACAACCCCTTAATAAAATCTCTTAATACGTATGAAAAACAAAACCAGCCTATATAAATAAGAAGGAGGAAACATAAATTTTTTGTTCATACATTTCATCAACATTATCAAAATTCGCTAAAACATTTTAGAAAAGTTTTTGTCAAAAAATCTCTAAATATGATCTCGAAGAAGAAATTAATGTGTGATATACACCACAAATGTTGGCGTGGGATCCAAAGATCGTATAGCAATAATAGTTGAAAAGCATGAATGCATCATTCACGTATAATTATGAGAATCCTATTAGTGTTTCGATTTTGTTAGTGGTACATCGGGGTGTACCTAATGGTGTACACTCCACTCATATGGACGAGGGACACATTCGAATAAAATATCATTTCTTTCACATGGGTTCCACACTCATGTGAGTGGAGTGTACATCATTCGGTGCACTCCATTATGTACCACTAAACAAATTCTTAATGTTTTATCATGGATTTCTTGGATTCTATATTTTGGACTTAGTATATGAACATTCCACCTTTCATTTTTATTTATTTGATTTCAAACAAAAACAACTATTTTCTATCACGAAATATCGATTATGTCTATATTTAGGGCCTGTTTGGGCCCGATTTTTTCACCTAAAAAATTAATTTTTTGACCGTTATTTCACTATTCCAGCCGTCATATTTGACTTCTTCTCTTACAGATGGACCCCACTTTTCCCCTAACGATCAAAAAATCAATTCTCAAAGTCACTCCCAAACAGGCTCTTAATCGTAATGGATCACAATCCATGATAGTATAGAAGGGTTGCGTTAATTATAATGAATGTAAACTTTTCTTACGTTGTGCGATACTTACGACAAATTATGTACCATTTCTGAGTGGTCGAAAAATCTAAAATATAGCTAGATAAATATTTCTGAATATTTTGAAATATACTTATATTTTGTATTCAAAGAAGCTATTATTGTTTGAATAAGAATTTCCATGAAGCACACGTTGTAGTGCACGTGAGAAGAATAATTGTACTAAAATGGCCCTGACCAAGCTAGGATTTCCAAGTACGTACGAAAAGAGCAAGTAAATGTCAAAATATTTTCATTTCAATCCAAATCTATTTTCTTAATCTTCAGTCAATCGATTATGCACGGTGTACCACAAGAGTAGTGGCAAGTGGGAGGAAAACATAATTAACCCATTAAATTAATATATATAACGTGTAAAAAATATTTTTCACGTGAAAAATTATACTAATCAAACACAATAATTTACAATTTCTAGAAAAATAATTTCTAAACAATTCAATTTCTTGAATTTTATTTTCTTTCCACATAAATTTCATCTTTACAATCAAACGGATCCTAAATTTTGCGGAACATTTCTATATAGTAACTAGGGTACATGCGTGGAAGTAGTAGTCAACTTGATTTGTAAAGTTGCAGGGTATACCTTTTTCTTATTTTAATATTGGTCAAAGTTTATTGGCAAGAAACTTGGAGAAGAATTATAATTAAAAAAACATATGCACGTGGACGAGGGCAAGCCATTGTTTGTATTGTTTCCTATTTTTGTTTGATTTTGAAGGTTTTATTTCATTAGCAGACCAAAAGTTGTAATTATGACTAAGGTAGGGTTACGTAATATAATTTAATTGTTGGTCCAAATGCATTTTTTTTTAGGAAGTGGATAAAAATGTATACATTGGGAAAAGCAATCGGTCCTACAAATTGTTACACATAGCAATTATTGCTCAATTATTTGCTTTGGTTTCTTGTTTTATTATTTTTTTTAACATTGGATAATGACTTCACCAATTCTCTCCCTCCATGTTAAAAAGAGAAATTTAGATTTACGAATAAATCGTTAAAAAAATCGAATAGAAGTCTAATGGTGAAAGTACATTTAAACAACTAAGGGTCCATTCGACAGTGTTTTAAACAGTTAAAAGTAGTTTATAAGATGAAAGAACTGCTTTTGAAAATATTTGAATAATTTTTAGAAGTACTTTGTTTGATTATAAAAGTTTTTAGAGGAAGTTATCGTAAAGTAACTTCTTAAAAAAAATTACTGTCAAATGGGCTCTAAGTGATTTAAGATTAATTTCTAATAAGAAGAATTGTTGTCCTTCTCATATTGACTAAGAACACATTAACTACTCATCAGACTTTTTGAATCTTATCTTTAGTAAGGTTATTTTATCCTGTCTATTTTAGCGAAGAAATCTTACTCATACCACTCATTCTTGTAAATACAAATTGAAGTGAATTGAAGGATGAAAGATGGTTTCATCTAAGTAATCACTCATCAACTTGACTTACTTGCCTACCAACCAAGACACCACCATATTACCGATTAAAAGTGAAGGGAATGAATGCACACAATACTTGCATTTAACACTACATCTCCGGTGCTAATTTGTTGTTATCATTAAGAACTGAATGCCCTCATGAAATTAATCTTGACGATAAAATAAATTATTCATAGCAAGTTTATGATGAAGAAATTGAACATAATCCATGCTATGCACAATTCATACATGGTTTAAAAGCAAAGCAGAAATTAAAAGCAATTGGAAACTAACCTCTAGCTAGAATTCAAACTTGATTCCTTTGGTAATGAAGTTGTTTAAACAAAGATATGAGAGAGAGAGAGAGAGAGAGAGAGAGAGAGAGAGAGAGAGAGTCTGTTAATTAAGGACAAGACAATATAGAGAGAATATATAAGTTAATTTGGTGAATTTTGAATGGTTGATTCACATACATAATTTATATTAGTATTTGATGTGTGGATATCTAATTTTTGCACATTTTTTAAATATGACTAAATTAAAGTTGGAGCTAAAAGGCAGATTGCAGAAATTATAGGCACCCCACTTGGATCTGAATTTGTGATGAGGAGCTGGCATATCTCCACTCGATCCTTTCTCGATTTCCTCATTCTTCAATTAATTTCAAAAGGTAGCTTCATATTTTATTATCTTCTATTTGGATTAAAGATTTGATTTAGTACTATGTTAACGATTAAAATGATACTCCCTTTGTGTACACCTGTTGCATATTCCCTTTTTAAGTTTTTGGTTATGATTCTTCATTTTGAAACTCTATTTAGGTTTACTACGATGTTGGAATAGAGAAGTTGAAGAATCAATGAATGAATTGTGGTTAGGGGTGAAATGCCACTCGATCGTGACATTTCGTTATGTCAAATTAATTTTTGTAACGAACAAAAGATGACATAAAAAATGATTGATATGCGACCAATGGTAACTTCAAACGTAAACTAAAATGTAATGTGAAATGTGCATCCATTGTCGATCATATTTAATTGATTAATTCAAACTTACATTTTTGGGGCTCAAAACACCTTTTCTTATCAAGAATTAGTGTGGAATATCAATGATCTAAATTTAAAGATAACTAAAGGAGATCATAGATTTCTCTTAAGACATGGTTCTTCTACTTGATTTTGCTTCACTCTTGAGCTCACCAAAAACACGACAAAATATGAGTTTTAAGAGGCATGCCTTTAAAATAGAATTTTTTTTTTATACTTACTTTTTTATTTTTACTAGTGATATTCCTCGCTTTGCAATTAATTTAACTTTTTTAATTTTTGCACTTATAATCTTATACTGGTACTTGAGAATTGAGATGGGGGCATAACTTTCTACTAACCAAATCTATGCCCTAAAAGTTGAGAATATATTTGATTGAAATCTAGACCCCATAGACAGCCTTTACTTGAATGGCTGAACTTGCTGGCGTACAGTCTTTAATTTGGAAGAGATCTCAGTAGTTTACTCTTAATTTTTTTACTATGCATGATTAATCCTTGATTAATAATGATAAATATCAGGATTCAGCTTAATTAATTGAAAAAAAAATTGCTAAGCATGTGATCATATATTTGTCTTACCTACTAAATGATCTTTGCAGTCCTACAAATCTTGATTTGCAGCTGGATCAAGATTCACAAAAAAGTTCCAAGTTATACTTGTCAATCAAATATGTGAGTGATGCCATGGCTTTCTCTTTAATTTATGGCTTTCCAAGTTATGGTTCTAACCTAGGTTAATCTGGTTTTATCTCGAGCTTATTTTCTTGGTATTTTAGAGCTTTAATTAACTCAAACTCGGCTAGAGATTTGTTGGTGAAGATCACTTTGTATATTGTGATCACGTTTCTTGTGTTTTATTCAAGTAAAGTTTAGCTTTTCGATATGCTCAACACTACTACGTCACGTTAAATCTAACCTACATTAATCTGGTTTTATTTAAGTTTATTATAATCACTCTGATGAAGCTTATAATTTCGTGGTATTTTAGAGCTTTAATGAATTTAAATTATGTTTTTTTAATGGATTTGTTGATCAAGTTCACGTTGTATATTGTGATCATATGTTTCCGTGCTTTATTCAAGTAAAGTTTAATTTTTTTGATATGTTAAACATTTCATGTTAAATATTTTTATATAAGACGTCATAAGAAGTAGGTATAACAAATATATCGACAAAAAAAATCTACTTAAACGAATAAACTTCTTAAATCTAAAACTTAATATTACTTTTGTGACTAATTATTATTGACAAATACAAAAATATTTATAGTTTCAATTTGTAGCTTCATGAAGTGTGGCATTGGCACATGCTTGTTCTAATATTTTCTGCTTGTTCTAATATTTTCTGCCACAGAATGATTTCATATAAATAAGATTTTTGGTGCACGAATAAAATTTAAGAAGCATTTAAGAAGCAACACGTGGCTTAATCTTAGTCACTTAGAAAATAATTTAATTATAAATAAATAAGAATGCAACTAATTATTAATTAAGGTGAGTGAATTTTAAGCAAATGTTCTTGACACGAAGTGTTATCACATTGGTAAGATACAATATTATACATACCAAAATTTGTGGTTAACGTTAAGACAAATAGACTAAGTTTTCAAATAACAATTATTTACAAGATGGAGGTTTATGGTTAGGGTTAAGACACAATAGGGCAGTGACACAGAGTACATGTACAAGCTAAGTAATATGTCAATTTTCGAGCAGTAAATGATGCTTATATATGTATATATCCTCATCAAATTTGACAATACATGTAAAATAATTTAACGATGATTAGAACACAACTCGATTAAGAAATCGTAAACAAGAGATGAATAGAAAATTATCGAGTTTGTAAAATAACAAGTTAATTAATCACTATTGTTAATTTGACTTTAAAAAAAAAATTACATAGCTGTAACAGAATTAATATAAAATGTGAACTACAATTTCAGAAAATTGATATATTGTAAGAAGAATAAAACGAGGTGTAAGTTACAAGTTTGAAAAACTACATATATTGTAACAGGATTAACATGGAGTTTAAACAATAATTTCAATAAAATATATACACTGTAACGATGCAAAAAATCACATATGTTGGAATTTGTCAAAAAAAATAAATAAATAAATAAATAAAATATTATGCACATAATAGGAAAAATTAAATGTTCTGTAATTACAGGATTTTCCTTTAAACGTCAATGTATACATTGTATTTTTTGTAATATTTTTCAAAATTTTATAGTTTTCAATTCACCTCCTATTTTTCCCTATTTATGTAACTAACCCCTTTATTGGTTTATTTCTTTTTCAAGTTTTAACCATAGTTGGGATTTTTGTTGGATCGGAATTAAAAACAAGAAAATACTTCCCTTCAAACGAAATGTGTGCTTCTTTTAAGGCAACACCACCTCGAATTTTACGTAGATTAAGTTATTCTATCATTCATGTTACATTTAAGATACTTATGTGTTGTGTTAAATTTCATTAAGAGTTTATCAAACTCAACCATCAACTATAACAACCAGACCCACTTATCTGAGATAAGAGTATATTTAATGCACTACTAAAGCTGTTGACTGATCAAATAACTTAGCATTTGATCCCAGAATATACCTTTTGATACAATTAGATAGAGTTGCCATCATTGATGACATTAATCAATTTAAATGGGACGCAACAGAAATTAATTATGTGTACAAAAAAAGAAGAAGAAGAAGAGAGAGTAATGCTATCGATCATTAGTCATGATGATCATCTTATGGTGTGGTAGTAAATGATAAAATTAATAAAATTTTAGTAAGATTATACCAAACAAGCACTTGAGTAATAATAGGACAAGGACGTCAATCATGCTAACAAAGACTTCATACCACAATAGAACTATCTGGCTGTAGCAGACGTTCAAATTTTGGTAACGATATCTATCGATTCAATTATATTAATCTCCCATTACTTATTACAAGCGTTTGAGTCACAAGGAGTGAAATGAACCAGCTCTTCCCGTTTAATTTACATAGTTGTTGTGAAATGGATGGTGCATATCTGAAATTGATAGAATATCACCTTTATAGATGTATGGGAAGAGGGAGAGATGAACTTGAGGTTAGGCACCCATTTCTTTCCATTGCGAAAAACGGTGACTGAAGGTTAAGTTGTTCATTTTTAGATCGAGTATTTATTAAGGATCCAACTAGTCTGTGCGTAGAGTAATTGGAACGGTGAAGAATTATGAATAATGGGAGTTAAGACTTAAAGATGGCTTGGAGTGTACCATTTGACAATGCATCTTCTTTTCATAAAATAAGTGGTAGCCATACTAGTTTGATCCTTTACCTTGTAATGATTACTTGTGCATTTATTACATTGAGGTTTTTATGAGTTCCTCTTGGAATCTTGGACTTCTACATGTATTGAAGAATAAATTAGAGAGTCACCAAGGAATGCACAAAAGCCCGTGACGGATTTTCTCAAGTCGAGACACGATCCCCTATCAGAATCAGCAAATGCTCAAAGTCGTAGAAAAGAAGAAGCGGAAAACAGTAATCATTGACCTGGAGTGGCTTTGACGTACTGTAAGAGGCGATGAACAGCATCAAGGTGCGGCTGGCGAGGTTGAGAAACAAATTGACTGAGCTTGTAGACTGCAAAGGTTATATCTGGTGGAGAGACAGTTAAGTAAAGCAGGCGGCCAACAAGCCTTCGACATAAAGATGTATCATCAAGTAATTCCCCTTCAAATGAACTAAGGCGAGCTTTGGGATCCATTGGCAAGGTAGCTGGTATGCAACCTAGGAAACCAGTGTCTTCAAGAAGCAACAATGTATAGTTTATTTGGGAGAAGAAGATCCCATTGTGGGTTCTAGCTCTTTCCATACCAAGAAAATGTTTTAGTTCGTCAAGATCCTTGAGTATAAATTGATTGTGTAAAAATGTCTTCAAAGAGTCAATCATACAATGATCCGAACCTGAGATGATGATATCATCAACATATACCTATAAAGCAACAAATATTACCAGAATCCTCTGTGAATAAGGAATAATCTGACTTTGATTCATGAAACAATGAAGAATAAGAACCTGAGAAAACTTTGAAAACCATAGTCTAGATGCCTATTTAAGGCCATAAATGAATTTGTAGAGTTTGACACTAGCTGTCCTCCCATTGAAAGATCTCATCTGTTTTAGGATACCCTAAAGGTAGATCCATATAGATCTCTTCAAAGAGATCCCCATTAAGGACTGCATTGTTGACATCTAACTGAACAAGATGCCAGTTGTGAATGGCAACAATGGCAAGAAGTATCTTCACAATCC